CCACTCTTGGGAGGAGCTCTTAGTGAATAATGCTCTCTTCATTTCGATGTTCCCAGGATCCCACTTGCTGTTAAATTTGGCATTTCTGCTTTGTTTATCTCGACAGAGGTTTTTATATCGTTGTTCTAGTGATAGTATCTCCATCCCAAGAGCTCTTTTCCGTTTGAAAGGGCTGAATGCTGGTGCTTGTGTGCAGGAAGTGCCTGAGGGAGTCGTGAAGCTGATTTTAGGTCTTAGGTTTCATTACAGTGACAGCGTACGACTTCCTAGTTGCGGATCATGCGCATTCCTTAAGAGGAAGAAATAATTACATTGCATTAGCTCCTTCAAATGAAGCATTCGACAAATTAGATTCCGTGCGTCGACTTGCAATGAGATCATAACGCAACTCATACTCATAACGCAATATGCGTTCTTCTGGGTAACAAAGAAAGCATTATATGGCATTTAGTGGAGGAGATCCTCCCCTCGTCACATAAAGCTTCATTAAAACATGTTCCACTAACACCCTCAGAAGCGCTGTGACATACAGGCTAAAACACCCGAAAAAAGAAAGAATAAGAGTCCATAACTCACATATAATAAGAACACTTATTTTTTAATTTCGATCGATCGTTTCGATTCCACTTCGATTGATCGTTTGTGTGTCTCTCAAAAACTGGGTGTAATTTAAGATTCGATCGAAATAAAATGGAAAAAAATAAAATGGCAATGTATATTTAATTTTTTTACTGTTTTACTCACAATTTCACCGTTTTATGAACACGAAACGCAATTATTCATTCAACTGTTGAACGAGGTCTTTTTACAAGTTAAGATATTTTTTTGTAAAGATTTGCACTTTTTGTGTAATTTAGTAATTATTTTCCTTGCATCACCACTGTTTCTGAGCAGTAGCTGTTCATTTTGAATTCCCGCGATGTGCTGGCAACTTTTTACTGAGGAATAACCACGCTTTTCTCCATAACGGAGCTACAGAGTGTTTCATGATTCATAGGAGGTTGGAACATCCATTTCAGGCTGCTTCATTTCCCTTCATTACTTCGACCGTACGACGGCTTTCTAAGTCTAGTCTGCCCACCTTCTGTCGAATTTTGTTTAATTTTGTAATGTTTATCTTATATTTTGAGTTTTCTTTCATTTATTGTTAATGTAATTTAATATTCATTTCCGTTTTACACTTAAAACATTTGTTATATCCGGTATTTTGTACCAGCAAACATTTAGCTTCTAATGTGTTAACTGTACGGTCACTTTTTGCATTAAACGTATTTAAGAACTTTCCTGCTTTCCCTCACCTGAAAAACAGTCACTGGCATTCCTGCATGTTGCATATAATATGCATAGGCCTATGTCTTGCATCTTTGAAAGAAGGGAAGAAAAAATAAATGAAACTACTTTGCACATTTCATATATGTAATGTCGGATAATCGTTTTTGCTAGCTAGAAACTATCTTGTGTACGCGCATCCGCATCTACTCGCATTGTAACTTGTAAGCGCGTTCACAACAGAAATGAATGAGGTCATGCTTTAGGCTTGGTATAAGTTGTGTGGTCGGACAATTTGTGCGGGTTCAAAGGGCTACGTTCACCAGACTCTACACCTTTTAGGTAGATATATTGATTATTTAGTGCAACTGCTATGGCTATTCGTTCCGTAAGTGTAATGCACATTTAGTACGGATGGTACCGTATTCTTTCCTCACTGTTTTACAAGATTCGGGGCCGAACTACAAGCCGGCTTACAGGTTTTCCCCAAATCGGGTATCTCAATCCAGCCGACCTGGATGGCCGAGGTGGCTAGAGCGTATGCTTATCGGCGCCTCGGTCTAAAGGGTCGTGGTTTCGAATCCCAACCATTGGCACGGTTGTCTTTCATGTATGTGTTGTGAGTCTGCTGATCTGAAACCGACAAGACCTCATGTGTGTCTCGTGTAATGGTTATTATGTGTCTCCATGATGGACGTGGTGAATACCCGGCGCGGATATACGTAATCGGCATCCCCTGAAGCTGAAAAAAATAACAGGAAGGAGAAAAAATGTATCTCCTACCAGCGGGACACCGCCCTAGTCGGGACAAGCTCTAAGCTCCCCACTGGTCTCCCGACATGTGTGGTAGTGTAACGTGTAAATTGTGTAAGTAAGGGATGAAGATAGGACAAGGAAGAGGAGGGAAAGATCTACCCTAACAGTACCGGAGCAGTACCCTAACGCCCGTTTCGCCCCTTTCGCCCCTTTCGCCCCTTTCGCCCCTTTCGCCCCTTTCGCCCCTTTCGTCCCTTTCGCGCCTTTGTTAGAGTGCCGCACCGGCATTTACCCGTGTTGATCGGAGAAACCACGGAAAACTACCAACCAGATCAGCCAGTCGCTACCCATCTTTTACAGGTTGGGCGTTAGAATTGCAGAATATTGTGCAGTCGCAGGTCCTGCACGGGCGGGGGAAGGGCAGCAGCCTTTCGCAGATTGGTGGTTGCCCTGACCGCTCGGCGAGAAGCAGGAATATAAGAAGTGACGTTTGTGCGTATGAAATCCATTGCTAAAACGTGCTGAAGGTGAATGTAGTGAGAGGAAAGTTGGAGTTTGTAATGCTGTGAATAGAGAATAAAAGATGTCACCGTTAATCTTCTAAGAGGAAATACCGAACAGGAAAATGTGACTACATGCAAGAGAACATGGAGTTTATTGTAATGTGGCATTTAACACAGTGTTTACGCCTGTCTTTTATTCTTTACGATTAAGAGATAGTGGAGAAAGATTGATCAAAGATAGACGTTGTAAGCATAAACTAAATTCTTAAATTAAGATCTTGTAAAAATCATGTTTTTCCGTGTCAATTAAATTCTTATATTCTTATTTAAAAATTCAGACATATTGTTAGGTAACTATTAGTCGGTACAAGCGTAAATGTGACGAGATTTTAAGCATTTCAACATTAAAAAAATAAAAGAAGTCTCCGTAATTAAAATATGAATTGAACGACTTACCGATGTCATATTATACTGACGGTCTAATATTTTTACGATGTTATTGAATTTTAATACGATCTTAATACATTTTGGTTTTAAGAAGAAAATATAGTTTTGGGTGTAAATAAACTTGAATTATTTGTGTTTATATACAGTTGACAATCACAAAGTTTAGTGTTTTAGACCTAATTCGTTTTGAAAATAATATGAATCATTTTCTCTTCCATGTCGTTTTAAACGTTCAAATAAATCTGTACCGAACACTTCAAGAGCGTCACGTAACCTTAAACCAAAAATTATTTCATGAATTTGCCAGGAAGTAATATTTTTACAAACTACATTCACCCCCAATGAAATAGTTACAGACTACTTCTGGCTTTAAACCTCATTCCTTTTTTCGGCACTCTTCCTTTGCTGAAACGACCTACTGATGTAATGGTCAACAAAACATCGCTGCAGCCGGAGAGAGTAGCACGTGTAGAAACTCACTTTCGTCACAGTGACTCCTTCACCTGGCACTTTTGTGAGTATGCAAAACGTGTTCATAATGAGAAGGCAGTATACAACAATTTTGTTCTCAAAACTTTGGCACATTATATTTTAATGGCTCGTATAACTCTGATTTAGGAAATTTCATATTTTCATTTAACTAATTACTGAACTAAAGAGTTTCTTCAAGAAATAAATAGAACAAAGTTCAGCACCACCTTTTATGAGAAACGGAGGACAATAAAAACCAAAAAATAAACAACCAAGAATTTACAGACGTGAACAAACTAGGTGATTTGATGTGCGTGCGTATGTAATGGAAGATGGGCCCGACGCGCTTTAGAAGAGCCTGGTCACTGGCAGACGAACGGCCGTAATTTGTACCTGGTGTGCTGGATCGTGTGGTAATGAAACACACAGTGGCGTGCACTTTGCACGTGGCTGAGAGACTCTAAGACCTCCGAGGAGAGCTCTTCACTGTCGAGTGGGTGTGGGGGCTCGGGTGGAGGAGGGAGCAGCAAGAGTGCTATCGAGAAACTCTCGGGGAAGATTCACCCATTAACATGGAATGCAATGGAGTCGTGTTTATTGAATGAACATGTGCATTTGTTGCCCTTCTCTTATTGCATTTTATGTTAATTCACTGTCACATTTTTTAATAAAAAATATAGTTTTCAAAATTCTCCGATGGTTTCAAGGCAAAGACTGAGACAATCACGAAAAAGTTTGTGATGATCGTATTGTCAAAAAAAACTTTCCTTCAAACACTATAATTATGTATCGTTATGTTACATCTTTAAAATTAGCACGACAATTAGCTTTCGAATTATTAGTTCCATTGTTTCTATATTATTTCATTCCAAGGTTAATGCAAATAAGAATTTCGAATCAGTTTATGAACTACAAAACATTTTCCTGTTTTGTGAATGTGTTTTGTTATTATTAGTGTATTGATTACAACAATGATTACGCCGATGGAGAACAACAATAATACTATAATGGCATATTCAATTTAAAGGACATTAACGTTCTCGTTAGATTAATTAATGCTCCTAATATATGTATTAGCGAATAATTTAACGAAGTTGCAACAAAGTCTGCATTGTGACATAAAATTGCGACATGAATGTGACCTAAGGTGAATATTGCTCGCTATAATGAGAGAAATTGGATTATATGGTCGCGAGATTACACAATTTTTGTTCCTTACTGAATGAAAGTACTCTTCGACAGAGCGTGAAAATTACCCATTAATTTCGTGCAGTGTGCATTACGAGTGAGTTGGATAATCCTCATGCAAATGATCACATGACATATTGTTTATGCCTTGTACTGCCATTTTCGTGAAAGGTTTCGTAAGTACTGCAGGAAACAAAACTAAATAATTACACTTCACCTGGAGTTATTCACCCTTCACCAATTATGAAATGACTTGCAAAACATCGTAGTGGTTAGTGAAGGTCACCTTTCTATGCTAAAAATAATATTACGCTACTATAAGAACACTGGTTTTAAACTTTATTATTATTTATTTTGACGACAGGAAATGACATCTTGCAGAAAAATGGGATAAGTACTTTGGCCAACATATTCGTAATTGGAAATGAAAACACCACCTTAGATTTTATTGAAAGAATTAAGATGTTGATTTATCACAAAACGTCGCTTAATTTGGTTGCCTTATAACAAACAAAACAACTCCATGTAATGATTTCATCATTTGTACTAGACTGTTAATTTTAATCATGATAAATCGATAAGTTAACCTGCTCAAAGCTAACTTTTTGGCTTTGATTAAGAGGTATAAAATGTAAGACTTCTAAAAAAATTTTCCTGGTCCACTTCCTCTCAAAAGTGTTTCCGTTTTTGCTATTGAGAAAATGTCTCACTGAATGTTTTATAAACATCAATCAATAACATTAAGTTACGACAAATTGCTGTTATGCAACTCTATTCAGTTTATTAAGCCATTCATAGCGTTTGACGAATATCGCAGTATCAATGAGCAGTGTTTTGTAGATCAAAAGGTAAGCATCCGAGAAACGTCTTTGTGATAGGGACAACTTGCACAAGGTCACACACGTCATGCTATTCAGGAGAAGAACGCTCATATCTAAGGATAAGCGACGGTAATTCAAATTTTCGCGTAAACAGTGAAAATAAACCTGAATCACCTTGGCCATAAAGCAGTTATTTTCCTCTTAACGTTTTCACATTTACGTTTTCTTCCCACAATCGGGTTGCCGGAAGACCTGCCATGTAATCCACATATTGTCGGCCTCTAGTGCGAGATAGAAGAAGAAATATTATTTCTAAGATGCATTTTTAAGTTTACTACTTACTAGAGGAAAATCGATATGTTTTTGCCATTCTGTATTTCTAACATAACTATTTTCGATAAAAGCGATTATGTCAGTATGCCACACCGTTTTGACATACGGACACGTGTTAAGAATATAACATGCAATATACTAGATATAGGGCTACATATACTAGATACTCGTAGAGAGAATAACTAGCTTGTTATTGGTTGGCACAGAAGTAATTCCGAAATCTTCTGATTCAAATTTCATCTATGAAATAGTAATTTTATATAGTAATTGTAGTATATTGTAAATAGTAATTATCAAAATGTCGCGACTTTGCCGTCCGCCTCCCCTCATCTCAAGCTGACTCGGAAGGGCTCAGGAATTATTTGACGGAGGGAGAGCAATTTCAGTACGGATCCCCTCCTCCTTACACGTACACGAATTTTTGAAAAGATACATTTGAAAAGAATCGTAATACAAATTCTGTATGGAATGAGATGCGATCAATACGTGACACTGCAATTGAATAAACGCAGTAAAATTACAAACAAATGTTGCGTCGGGCCAAGGGGGGGGGGGCTTTGTCCCCTCCTCCCGTTCCCTTCAGCCCGGTAACTCACATTGGGCTGGCTGCCAAAGCGACTTGCACATGTGCTCGCTTGGGCCGCAGGTTTCCTCATGGGTAGAACCTTCTCTCGCCCCTTCGTCCGTGGCCTTCACCTTTGCTCCCCCACCGCCCGCCACGGCCACCGCCGCTGCCGTCGCCGCGCCCCGCGCCTCCGCACCCGTCCGCGACTCCACCGGACGTACGAGTACACACGCGCATGCGCGCTGCCCTTTGCCGCGCTGACGTCTGCGGCGGAGGAGTTCCGCGATGGTGATGAGATAAAAATTGGTAATTTCGTTTCAGGAATATAAAGGAGGAATGAATCAGTGGACAGTGGGTTGGTTCTGCTTTTGAAGAAGCATAAGACATTTTAACGTAGACGTATGTTCTTATAGTTTCATTGATTAACTTTCATGCAAATTCGGTTACTCATTGAAGAGATTTAGTATATTAATACGAAATATATACGCCACTTATAATATATATATAATATATATATAATATATATATAATCATTATACTATATTTCGCTTCTTGGATGTGGTTCATTAGGCCGTTGTTAAATATAATATAATTTATTTAATATGATATATATAAGTATTGATTGTTGGAACGTGGCACTCTTTCGTGAATATAACACCCTTAGGATCCTGAGTGGTTCTCAAGATCGAGATCTGCATTACAAACGATTGACTTCGATTGACATTCCCGGCTAGTTCTCTTGAGAAGAAATAGGACATTTTCCAAAACGTATCAGCAAGTTATCAACACCCGGTTAGTGATATTGATAAATCTAGGTTCCAGCTTTTGCAAACAGTGCTGAACCTCAACGCAACGCCAAACCCTCGCCCATTTAGGGCGTTCGCGAAGCAGCTTTGGCGAAGTCTCATCGTCCCGCGGGCCGGCGGGTGAGACACGGAGTCGCACACCCGGCGGTGCCGCCCGCACTTCGGCCTCTCACCCGGCCAGACCTCTTGCCCATCCGGCCACCCCGCGTAGTGCAAGCATCTGTGCCCTCACGACGCCCGCGCCTCGCAGGCGGCGCCCAGCTCGCCCGCCCTGCATCCCTCCTAGCCCCGCCGCCTCCACCAGCATCTGCGTTTTCTCCCTGCAGGCCGCTGCCACCCGCGGCGCTCCGTCCGCCTGGTGGCGTTGGCGTTGGCGTTCTGGCGGTGGGCGTGCTGGGTGGAGGCAGTTGCCATAACCGGGAGTATTTTTTCCCTGGCCGAGTGTCTTTCCCGCGCGTGCGGATGGCAGAGCGGGAAGGCGGGAGCGAGGCAAGAGGGTCTGGCGGGGAGGTGCGGGGGCGAACGGCGTGTGGGGCCCGGACGAGCGACAGCGGGGCGAGGGGAGGGGGCGGAGTGGAGCGAGGCGGCGGGTGAGCGGGGAGGTGGCGGGCGGAGTGGAGCGGGGCGGGGCGGGTCTGGAGCGGGGCGGAGTGAGCGGGCGGGGCGGAGTGGAGCGCGGGGGGGCGAGTCGGGAGCGGGGCGGGGCGCGAGTAGGGCGGGCGGGGCGGAGTGGAGTCGAGCGGAGCGGGCCGGGGCGGGGTGGCGCGGAGTGGAGCGGGGCGGGGCCGGGGGGCGCCCCGGCGCCGGAGTGCGAGCCGAGTGGAGCGGAGAGGGCGCGAGGGGGCGGGGCGGGGCGGGGTGGGCGCGGGAGGCGGCAGCCAGAAAGAGGCCCGGGGCGGGCGGGCTTGGGGTGAGGAGGGGGGTGGAGCGAGAGGAGCGGGGCGGGGGGGACCGGGGATGCGCGGGGGCGCATGTTGGGCGGAGGAGGGGGGAGGGGTAGTGGAGCCGAGCCGGGGAGAGGGGGGGGCGGGCGAGAGAGTTGTGTTCTCCACGGGGAGTTGGCTCCCGGCGCGGGCGCGAGACGCATCGGTGCAGTTGGGGACGGGGCGCACGGGCGGAGGCCCAGCGGAGGCAGGAGCTGCGCTGGCCAGCAACTCGCCAGGTCAGTCACGTGCCCGCCCGCAGGTTCCTCGGCGGATGTGCGTAGATCGTGTGAAAAGCTACGTGAAGGGTGACGTCAGTGTTTCGTCCTGGATGTAAAGTGCCGCGGAAATAAACAGGTAACGACAAATGGAAAATTTAAGTAAACTTTTGCCATGGCAATATTACGTTAATATTTATCACATCTCATAATTTGCGGAATAGGAATCTTTGAACATGTTTGGGGTGAAGTTATTCTGTTATATGATTTTTTCCGTTAAATTGCGAATTAATCTGTGATGCAATCGTCGAAAAGAGGATACATACGCAAAGCATGGATCTATGACGAGTTCCTTAACTTTTTTAATGATCGGATATGTTGATGGGATCCTGAGAACTTTGTTCATGGACGAACAACAAGAGTAGCATCTACATTGCGTAGCAATTCTAAATTCCCCTGTGTTCACTGACTCTTTAAGTAAACATAATATGGCTTCACCAAACCTCCTGCTTGACGAGTTCTTAGAGTAAACAAATGCTATAATGTATTGCATGAAGAATAAAGCAATAAGCATAAAGTGTGAAGACAATAAATCTAGCCACGATCGAGATTTTATCGCCGGATGGTTAACATGCAGTTGTGTGAATTCGTGCTATTCTTTCTCATTTTAATGAGAACGCAAAACTGTGGAAAGAAAACCATAACATTTTGTAATGCAGATAATAATGTAATAATATTATTTTATCGCAATGTACATACTGAAATGCAGTACAAATGTTGCTTACTGCCCAGGGTGTTTATCTGTAATCGTTCAGATGCGTGCAAAAAATCGAAAATAACGAAACGTATACTTAAATACTTAACTTTGTTTCTTACCTATTGTGTTACCTTGAACGAATAATGATTATTTTTACTTTAAGTATAAAATGAAGATGATTTTTCTTGAACGTTAATTTAAATCTACCCAGAATGTAACCAAAAAATACAGTATTGGTTACAAATTTACTAAAATCTGTTCTCTGTGTAGTGCACTGCAGATAGTGGTAGGAAAAAAAGGTTTAAAATTTCCGTAAAAAGTTTCTTAAACCACAACACAACAAGTTTGGCAAAAATACAACATTTATTACAAATATTAATTTAATCTTACCGCTTGGAATCGTTTGGAATAATGACATTTCAACTTCTTTAACATTCAGAACGACCTTTCTTAAAATAGGTTTGTCTCGACGATGACTTTCATATTTGAAATCTCATTCCAGAAAGCAATTGCATAGGCTTGGATGAGGGAAAATGATTGAGGATTAAATATGCTGAGGGAGAGGTTAGTGATTCAAGGAATTATGACAGTGCGATCGGAGCACGAATAGACGTATCGTATGGAAAACTACTTTTTCTTTCTGATGTGTTGACGTTACCAGACGTTGCATTGAACAATTCTAGCACTAGCAGTAATTTACCTCCATATTTAAGTTTAGTGTTCGCACAGAATTGAATATAATTCTCCTAATCTCTTCAATAAATACAGGCGGAAACAGTATGAATCGGATAATGTTCTGGGCAAAACACCTACCAAAACGTTCTACCACACATTCGCTGAAATGAGTTTTCCGTTGTTTTCTTTTTATACAATAAGCTTTTAATGATTCGTTTTTACGACCAACAGTTTTTAAAGCCATTTAATCGTGTTTCCTCCACAAAACTCTCAATTATTTATTTTAAAAGAAATTTATCTTATCTTGTCATCTCTCTACGACAAAGATTACGCATGAAATTCCAGACAAATTTGCTGCAAGTAATTTTCCAGTCTGCCAAAATTATGTTTTTATTGAAATTAAAAAGAAACTTATTTTATTTAGGAATAAGTCACAATACGAACTACCGCGTTACTCTATCATGATTACTTTGAAATTCCAAATGCATGTAATAGATCCTTGCACAACATGTCGTCAGCTCCCGTAGAAAAGGTATTCCTTTGTTCCTGCAAAATACTCTTACATTGCGAAGGCGGGTCAGATATGCATGTTCCTTAATTTTTGTATTGTCGAATAGTTTTATATTATGATGAGTCGTAATATTGTTTAGTTAGCTTTCATCGGAGCTTTTTTGCGTGATCGAATCTCTCATTCTGCTTGTTGAATAACATTCCTTTCCTTCAGTACGTGTACTCTAACAATGAAACTCACCTACTCTCCATCACTGAAGTCAGTGTTTATAGAGCCTTTGAAATCTCCTAGCGAGTGCATGAAGGGTGATGTTTTTAATGTCGACCACTTCTACCAATTATCGATCTCGCTACTTCTGCTTCTGACATCGTGATGTCTTCGCAGCTGTTTTCTCATTTTAGCAATGAATTATAGAACATACGTCTCAGACTAAACATCGATAGGGATTGGACCCTTCGTAAGCAAGATCTTTACATGTTTTTCTTCTCAACATCCTCTTCTTAGTTACAAAAACATATATATTACCGCTGAATGACGTTAGCAGCAATTTCCTGATCTAACTATTGTGTCATTATGAAGTTCACTGTTCAAATATCCATCCCCCGGAAGACAGAACAACTATCAAAAGCGAATCGTTACTTGCCAGAGAAAAGCCATCGTGTCCATTCCATATTTCCGCCGACGCAGCGTTGCCGAGGTGCGGAGCGCAAGTCAGCTACCGTCTTCCACAGTGCCGCTGTGTCGTTTGGCGCGAGTGCACAGCGTGTGGTTGTCCTGCAGCGCCATGTCGTCGTCGCCGCCGCCGCCGCTGCTCCTGCCGCTGTTCCTGTCGCTGCTGTTGGCGTTGGGGGCGGCGCCTGCCAGCGCCCTGACGCGCCTGCAGGAGCTGTACACGTGGCGCGGCGTGGATTTCCAATTCCCCAACGCTGCCGTGCGCGCCGCCGCCATCCGCAGCGGGGCCTACGTGGAGGGCAGCGCCGTGCCGCTCGATGTGGACGTCTACCAAGGAGGTGAGCTACGAAACCGTAATGAATTACACGGGCACACACTAAAAAAACCGGTTTTATGGCGGAATTTCGGCGATGCGTATGCCATAAAATGCCATGTGTACCATAAGAGTCCTTTCTGGCTCACCATTACATAACTTTCTCTTCTTACGACGAATTCGTACGGCGAGAAAGTAAAAAGAGATGTCAACCGAAGGATTGACACATGTTTCTCGATGTATGACAACGCACTTGATCCGAATCTGAAGCCAGAATCGTGCCACCACCTTCCGGTTTTTTTTAATCGCGGAAAAAAAACACAGTGAAATTTACGATATACATTTTTAATTGTTTTTCGCGATTTAAAAAAACTGCATTGTGGTAGCGCAATTATGGCTACAGATTCGGATTCACGACATACGTATATAAATATGTTTCATGTCTTTTTATTTGAGAACAAGCCCCGAAAAAAAAGTACAATTTCACGTTGTTTTTTCGCCCCCACTCTGCCGGTTTTCAAAATAATCAGAGGGTGGTGGCGCATTTTTGGCTTCAGATTCAAATTCACCGCATTGAAGTACATAAAAACAACCTGTTAAATCTTTGAGTCTGACGACTTTTTGTTTGTGTTTGTGTTATTGTCACAATGTCATGAGAAATTCACAGTGTGAATCGTACGAAAGTGGACAAAGATTTTCATCTGTGTCACGTGTCTGTAATATTAAGCACCTAGTTTATAATATTATGCTTTATTGCATAAGTACAGTTTTCAAAACGATCGGCTTTCGGAGCTAGTTTTTAAAATTTGTAGGAATGAATTATAAACAAATTGTATACGCATTTCTATATACCAGTATAATACGTTTATAAAATAACTCAAATTAGATTTGGAAACAAGTTTCTTAAGCGGTTTTGTAGTTGGCAACAAATATATTTTGACAGGGAGCTCGTCAGGCAGGGATTTAGCACGGGGAGAGCGAGCGCTTAAGAAGAGTGGCGAGGACAGGGTATGCCATAAAATGCCATGTGTACCATAAAATTCCTTTTATGAACGATTTCTAGCAACGGGAATGGTCGTTTATAATGCTGGTATACAAAAATAGTATATTACGAGACAATGATGAACATAGTTTCGTACAGAATTTTGTCTATGACTAATGATAGCATTTTCTCGATTATTTTTATCTGATGTCCACAGAGTTGTGAAACTATTACATACTAAATATAACCATATTTTCCTGGTCTTGTACTTTTGGCGGCGTTATTTCCTTATTTCAATCACTCCGGTTTAATATTTTAGCATTTTACTCTACCCGGAGGCCGTAACGATTGCCAATCATTAATTACCTCTCAATGTTTGGTGTGTAAACTTATCTTCGATTGATCACACGTCTGTACTATAACGAACCTATATCAATTTACTTGTATCTGTTTCTGAGAAGGATCATGACTCTGACATTTTCATATTTGATTATTATTACGTAATATTTCATTAAATTAATACTATTATTAACAACAACAACAACAACAACAACAACAATAATGCAATACCAAATTTCACCCTAGTAATAAGACGAGTCTGTCAGAGCCGTTACTAGTAATTTACTTTCCATTTTGTTCCTCCATCCCGTTGACATATGCAAACAGCATAATCGTGATTATCGATTCAATGGAGTGAATAATTGGGCAATCGGCATTTAGATTAGATTAGATTTATTAATAATTCTGCAATAAGTTTGAGAACTTGGCAGAATACACTAACTTAACATTACAGAATTAAACAACTTTACAAAATCTACAAACTTTACAAATTAACGTGAACGTGTTTCGTTAACTGAAGTCGTAGGCTTCCGTGGCCAGAGTCATGTGCGTGATCTTGGCTGTCCGGATGACGCCGCGTCGAAGGCTGTGTTGCCGACGTTTCGACC